CCATTTCACGTCCACGGACGTTCGGACGTAAATTGGACTTAAACTGGACGTCCACAGGACATCCTGTGCTATCTGGGATGTTATAGAGAGGTTTGATTGGGGAGGTTGGCAGCACCGCGCAGGCACGCAGGCAGGCAGTAGGCTGATGTGTGTGAACTCACTGTAACGCACGTACTAATAAATAGCTCTTCTGATATAAAATAGATATCCTTTACTACCGAATATAACATGGTGCCAGGTGTGGTAGGAATGGTCTCAATCTTCTGAATACAGAACCATTCAGTACAGAACCACGAATAGCTTTATAATTCGGTGAAGTAAGGTTAGAGACGACGACCATGAATGCCGACGACCTAAACAGGATATTAACAGAGCAAGTCAAAGCCCTACAGAACTTAAATCAACAAATGGTTCAAGTCCAGTCGAAACTAAACATTAGGAACGGAGAAGGTTCAGTAACGCAATTACCTAACCTCCAAGCGAACGTACCGTGGCCTCAACCACTTAATGTAGACAAAGGTGACGTCAGAGAAAATTTTGAGTTTTTCAAGGACAATTGGAATAACTATGCAATTGCTACTGGAATGTCGGCATGGCCAGATACACAAGAGAAACAAAAAATCAGCATCCTACTAATAGCTGCGATTGGAGTACAGGCGATGAAGAAATATCTCAATTTCCAGCTAACAGAAGAGGAAAAAGATACCACAGAAAATGTCCTGAAAATCATCGAAACAAGACTCACAACAGCTAGCAAAAATGTTATCTATGATAGGTATCTTTTCAACACCGCAGTCCAACAACAGGACGAAACCTTCGACAACTACCTAATCAGACTAAAAAAACTGATTAAGAACTGTGAGTATGATCAATTTCAAGATGATCTGCTAAGGGATCGCATTGTTGTAGGCATTAAAGACAACGCCCTAAAACGTAAACTAATGTCAAAGACAGATCTAACTCTAAAATCAGCTACGGAAACTTGTAGAGTACACGAGATTACAGAAAAGCAAGTTAATTCTATGCAAGCGGACGAGAAGGTAATATCGGCGGTGAACAAAATAAATAAGGACAGATGCACTACGAACAAGTCCAAATTATGTCGATACTGCGGTAGCGCACATGTATTCGTAAAAGGCGCGTGTCCAGCATTTGGTAAGACATGCAAGTTCTGCAAAAAGAAAAACCACACGGAGAAAGTCTGTCACATGAAAAAACGGAATAATCCCAAAGGTAACCAGATCAACCAAACTTGACTTGAGAGAGGAAAGTCATGTTTCGGAGGACTCGAGTAGCAGCGACTCGGAAGCTGGGCCGATCCAGATAAAAAAAGTATGCATCAGTGACTCAGATGGCTCGTTGGTTGCAAATCTGTGGTTCCGCATCAACAAGAAGTGGAAAAAGATAGCTTGCGAGTTGGATACAGGAGCGAGGTCATGCGTTATGGGCTACAAATATTACTGTAGCATCGTACCCGAGCCTCACAGAGAAATGCAGCAACCCTCATGTCTTCTAATGGATTTTGGAAAACACAACATCAAGGTGCTAGGAGAAGTCAGTCTTAAGTGTGTACATAAAGGAAAAAAATATCGAATAAAATTCCGAGTTGTGGATGAAGACTGTGGCCACTCCTCTCAGTTCACACTTGCATGGATTTAAAGCTCATAAAAGTTTGCAATTCAGTCCAAATGCAGAGTTTAAAGATAAATAACTGTGCAGAAACAGAAGAAATTGTCAAGAGGTACCAAGACGTCTTCCAAGGATACGGCCTGCTACCAGGGACTACTCAACTGGAGATCGACGAGAACATAGAGCCAGTGATTCAGAAGCCACGAAGAATCCCTATGAGCTATCGGAATGATCTGAAAGAAGAGTTGACACGTTTGGAAAAGAAAGGAATAATCGTTAAAGAAGAACAACATACGGATTGGGTGAGTAATATTCTACTAGTTAAAAAACCAAAATCTTTTAGAATTTGCTTAGATCCAATACCGTTAAATAAAGCATTGCAGAGGCCAAATTACCAATTCACAACTCTCGATGAAGTCCTCCCAGAACTAGGAAAGGCAAAGGTTTTTAGCACAGTCGACACCAAAAAAGGATTTTGGCAAATCAAACTCTCTGAAGAAAGCAGTAAGTTAACAACGTTCTAGACACCGTATGGACGATATCGATGGCTTCACCTACCTTTCGGAATTTCTGCGGCTCCGGAAATCTTTCAGATGAGAATCCTTGAGACAATTCATGGACTACAAGGTGTCGAGATATTGGCAGGCGACATTCTCATTTATGGTCAGGGAGATAATGTGGAGTTGGCGATAAAGAATCACAATCGTAATCTGGAAAATCTCTTACAAAGATTACGTGAAAATAACTGCAAATTGAATAGATCGAAGCTAAATTTGTGTCAGACTTCTGTTAAATTTTTTGGACATGTCCTGTCCACAGAGGGTCTGAAACCGGGCACTACAAAGGTCGAAGCTATAAAAAACATGCCAAACCCTAAGGACAAAAAAGGGGTTGAAAGATTTGTCGGTTTAGTAAATTATCTCGGCAGATATCTACCTAATCTAAGCTCCGAGCTACATCGGCTACGAGAACTAACAATGCAGCGTACACCTTGGATTTGGACTGAGGTTGAACAAAAAGAGTTTAATAAAATCAAAGAGATGGTCGCAAATATCGTCACACTTAAGTACTTTGATGTAAGCAAACCAGTTACAATACAGTGCGACAGTAGCAGTCATGGTCTAGGAGCAGTACTTTTGCAGGATGATGAAGTAATCATGTTTGCATCCAGATCTCTAACAAAAGCAGAAAAGAACTACGCTATGATTGAAAAGGAGCTGCTAGCAGCTACTTTTGCGTGTACTAGATTCGACCAATACATAGCCGGTAAATCAGGGACTATCATCAAGACGGACCACAAGCCTCTCGTCAACATATCGAAAAAATCTCGTCTGAAAGCACCTAAGAGGCTCCAACTGATGTTTATGTACTTACAACGCTACGATTTGGAATTCCAATTTTTAGAAGGAAAAAAGAACGTCGTAGCCGATGCTCTTTCTCGTGCACCGGTCAATACAGAAGATCAGAATGTAGATAGGGTTAGGAACCACGAAGAGAAACTGTTTAAACAAATAGGGTGTGTCAATGTTATACAATGCCTTAACATTTCAGACGAAGTCATCAACGAGATTAGAAAAGAAACGATCAAAGATGCATCTCTGCAAGTGTTAAAGAAGTACATACAGGGAGGATGGCCTAGATACATTCACGATGTCCCAGATGAAATCAAGATTTATTTCAAGTTCGAAAGCGAACTATCGCTGCAAGACGATATGATAGTGAGAAACGATAGAATCGTCATCCCTCGGAGTTTACGTTAAACTATGCTAAAAAAAGTTCACGCGGCACACGGTGGAATAGAAGCTACTATGAATAAATTGGCTCGCGAAAACATTTTCTGGCCAGGAATGAATGGAGCCATCAGAGACAACGTGAAGGAATGCGACATCTGCTTAGAATTTGCAGACAAACAATCGAATCCTCCTATGCAAACACATGAAGTACCTTCTGCTCGATTTCAGACTGTCTCCATGGACCTGTTGTCAGCTACACATAAAGGGAAGAAAAGAAACTTCGTGGTCACGTCAGATCATTTTTCAGATTTTTTCGAATTGGACATAGTCAAAGATCTTTCAGCAAAATCACTCGTTGCTGTCACGAAGCAAAACTTTGCTAGACACGGAATACCGACTAAGATCGTCAGTGACAACGGTACCAATTTTGATTCCTCCGAGTTTCGGCAGTTTGCAAGATCCTGGGGAGTTCTACACGTGACATCATCTCCGCATCATCAACAGGGCAACGACAAAGCGGAGTCTGCAGTAAAAATTGTCAAGAAAATTATTAAAAAATGCGAGAAAAGTGGAGAAGATCTTTGGTACGCCATCCTACATTGGAGAAATACCCCGAACAAAATGGACTTGAGCCTGGTTCAACGGCTTTTCTCACGAAGGACGAGATGTGGTATTCCAACTTTACAGTCCAATCTGCAGCCAAGGATAATAGAAGGAGTTCAAGAAAAGATTTCGTCAAGCAAACTACGAAGCAAGTACTACTACGACAGAACAGCACGAAAGCTGCCAGAGCTGCAAGTGGGTCAACCAGTAATGGTTCAGTTAAAACCAGAGGAGAATCATTGGTCCAAAGGTAAAATCAATCATAGGATCTCGGACCGCGCATACATGGTAAATGTGAAGGATGCACTTTACCGAAGAAGTGCCGTACATATAAAGCCTCGACACGATAGTAGTCGGCGTCAACACCCCTCAAAGGCGGATGACGCAGCGATTTATTCCACAATATCAGAGCCGTCTACAAATACAACAGAGGTACAGTCGTCACGCAAATCGGTGACTACTACAGCTCCAAAATCAATTAGTCAGGACGATAGTGAACTTATGGGCATCTCTTCGTCACCCAACAAGAGCAGTGTCAGACCTAGTGCGGAAAAGACTGTTAAAAATACAAGCAGCGACGACCACAAGGAATCAACAGTCGGGAAGACTGTTAAAGACACAAACGTCGACATTCCCAAGGAATCAGCAGTCGAAGTTCCAACGAATAACGCAGTCATCAACACGCCAACAAGTACGGGAAAAGCACGTCCAAGAAAGAACGTGAAGCCTCCAGCTCGATTTGCCGACTACGTTACAAACTTATAATTCCAGAATCAGTCAAATATTGTTTAAGTCATATATATTCATATCCATCCAATATTGTTATTTTAAAAGAAGGAACGTGAAGCCTCCAGCTCGATTTACCGACTACGTTACAAATTTACAATTCCAGAATCAGTCAAATATTATTTAAGTCATATATGTTCATATCTATCCAATATTGTTATTTTAAAAGAAAAAAAAGAGAGAACATGTTATAGAGAGGTTTGATTGGGGAGGTTGGCAGCACCGCGCAGGCACGCAGGCAGGCAGTAGGCTGATGTGTGTGAACTCACTGTAACACACGTACTAATAAATAGCTCTTCTGATATAAAATAGATATCCTTTACTACCGAATATAACATGAAATTTGCAGAATTTCACTGAAAATAAATTTTTTAATGAGAAATTGCTGAAATGACAATGAAATTGGGTCAATTGCAAGAGATTTTCAACCAAATTTCAGCAAATTTCATTACGTTTTCAGCAAAATTTTTCCATCAGGGGTCTGATTATTTGTTCGTATTAGGACCCAATATCACGCAGTTTGAAAGACTGGAAAAAATGTTGGCATAATTATCATGAGACACGGTAGTGTCTCGCGCCAAGTGTAAGCGCAGCTAGTACCGCGCGCGCGAGACCGACCGTGTAAGTTTACGCGAGTACACGAGTTGACGGGCCCTCAGAATTTCGAATCTCAACAACGGCTGTTCCGACGAAGTTGAGATTGCGCTTAATCGATAGCTTGGGTACGATTTGCATAATAAAAGTGTTTTTACTTTTCTCCTACGTGTTTACTCTGCATTTTAGGCGATCTTTAGGTCACCTGCGTTTACACGCGTTACGTCGTGTGACCTAATTTATGTCAAGGCACGCGAAAAAGAGACCTGACCCAAGCGAGGTCGCAACTGTTTACATCGTCGCGACCTATCGTGTTTGGGTTGAATATACAACGCACGGTGTAAACTAGGCCATTGTCCTGTACGGCTTAGCGCCATCTGGTCTCCATACTAATGTATGTAGTAATACACCACAAAAGACACAGAGGCTTTTGGCATGTCTCAGAGACTAACTACGCTGTTCTCTTCACTAATTCTTTTCAATCCTGCGCCATCAGGTTATGGGCACAGGCTGTACAGTGAAAAATTGAAATTCAGAAGATTCAATAGAAGATTCAAGAACCCAGACAGCCAAGCCTGTAGAGAACAGATTTCAGAAAACTCTGTTTCCAAATTTTGTCGACAGAAAAA